CATCTGTCCTCCCATTGGTTCACATCCTGCCCACTGAGTCCAGCCTTCAAGGGCCTCCCGTATGGTAATGTCTCCCTGCATTGGGAGCTCTGCCCATGGCCCCACCTTACTCTCCCCAGCTGCTCATCATGTTCGCCTGCCATATAACTTGTGGCACAGCCGGCATCCACTATCCTAGCTCTGGCCCCACATCTCCTCACTGTAGCTCAGCTCTGGCTCCCCATTGCGGCAGATGGTTTGTGCTGCCCCATCCACTCCAGCTGCAACTCCCCAGCTCTGCCTCGTCACTGCTGCTCTGCCTTCAGCCCAGCTCTGCTTTCTGGGCTTCTTCTCTGGCCCCTCTGGGTCGGGCTGGGGTTGCCAGATTTCCACTGCATTATAGCCCAAAGTCACTGAAAAACTAACCTAAAAGTAGCCCAATCAATTTCTTGAAACAATATTTTTTTATTCACAATTAGGTCTATACATCAAATAACAAAAGGAAGGTTTTGTTAGATATCTAATACAGATTTGATTTAAAAAAAACAGCTACAAGTCCCAGCAGAAATTTGTCCACATTAGCAACAAAGCTATCAAAGGATAATAAAATTCAAATTCAAAACCCCAGTACTGGTATTTCTTTCCTAATTGAGGGTTGGCAGGAGTTTCAAACAAACTATGGCAACTGATGGTGTTAAAATAGTCCCAAAGTAGCCCAAAACATATGTAGCATAAAAACAACTGAAACATTACTATAGTATTTATTTCTAATTGCATTCTATGATGGTAGACAATGTCCACATTTTGTGTTGAATTAGTTTGTTACTGTTAGTCTTTACATGGTTTATCCGACGGGTTTCCTGAAGGATTGGACGTGAAAAAAAATTTGCTCACTGGATCACTGTACATATGATAGAGAAATTCAGCATTGTAGTTTCTTTCTTTTCTGCTTGGCTATCTGAAAGTATAGCTTCTGTTCTGTAAAATTGTCTGACACATAGAAAAACATAAACTGTTGAGCAATAGTCAACATGGTTTCTGTAAAGGGAAATCGTGTCTTACTAATCTATTAGAATTCTTTGAAGGGGTCAACAAACATGTGGACAAGGGGGATCCAGTGGACATAGTGTACTTAGATTTCCAGAAAGCCTTTGACAAGGTCCCTCACCAAAGGCTTTTATGTAAATTAAGCTGCCATGGGATAAAAGGGAAGGTCCTTTCATGGATTGAGAACTGGTTAAAAGACAGGGAACAAAGGGTAGGAATAAATGGTAAATTCTCAGAATGGAGAGGGGTAACTAGTGGTGTCCCCCAAGGGTCAGTCCTCGGACCGATCCTATTCAACTTATTCATGAATGATCTGGAGAAAGGGGTAAACAGTGAGGTGGCAAAATTTGCAGATGATACTAAACTGCTAAAGATAGTTAAGACCAAAGCAGACTGTGAAGAACTTCAAAAAGATCTCACAAAACTAAGTGATTGGGCAACAAAATGGCAAATGAAATTTAATGTGAATAAATGTAAAGTAATGCACATTGGTAAAAATAACCCCAAATATACATACAATATGATGGGGGCTAATTTAGCTACAACAAATCAGGAAAAAGATCTTGGAGTCACCGTGGATAGTTCTCTGAAAATGTCCACGCAGTGTGCAGAGGCGGTCAAAAAAGCAAATAGGATGTTAGGAATCATTAAAAAGGGGATAGAGAATAAGACGGAGAATATATTATTGCCCTTATATAAATCAATGGTACGCCCTCATATCGAATACTGCGTACAGATGTGGTCTCCTCATCTCAAAAAAGATATACTGGCACTAGAAAAGGTTCAGAAAAGGGCAACTAAAATGATTAAGGGTTTGGAACGGGTCCCATATGAGGAGAGATTAAAGAGGCTAGGACTTTTCAGCTTGGAAAAGAGGAGACTAAGGGGGGATATGATAGAGGTATATAAAATCATGAGTGATGTGGAGAAAGTGGATAAAGAAAAGTTATTTACTTATTCCCATAATACAAGAACTAGGGGTCATGAAATGAAATTAATAGGCAGCAGGTTTAAAACAAATAAAAGGAAGTTCTTCTTCGGTGTACAGTCAACTTGTGGAACTCCTTACCTGAGAAGGTTGTGAAGGCTAGGACTATAACAGAGTTTAAAAGAGAACTGGATAAATTCATGGTGGTTAAGTCCATTAATGGCTATTAGCCAGGACGGGTAAGGAATGGTGTCCCTAGCCTCTGTCTGTCAGAGGATGCAGATGTATGGCAGGAGAGATCACTTGATCATTGCCTGTTAGGTTCACTCCCTCTGGGGCACCTGGCATTGGCCACTGTCGGTAGACAGGATACTGGGCTAGATGGACCTTTGGTCTGACCCGGTACGGCCTTTCTTAAGTTCTTATGTTCATCAAACTGATCAGGAATCCTGTTCACACAGGGACTAAGGGAAAGCCACCTTGCATCAGAAATCTGCAGTATCTTCTGGTAGTCTAGGAGCTACAGAAAGGCCGAGTGTGTGGGGTTGAGGGCTGATGGGTGACAATGAAAGAGGATGGAAGATGGTCAAAAAGAGGGAACATAGCAACAGAGAGCGCAGTGCTTGGTGATGGAATGCTAAGACATTAGATGAGAGGAATTTCTCAGATTGTGAACTTCCAAAGTGCTGAGCTCAGCCAAACTGTGACAGCACCCTTGATTAATGAGGAGGCATCCTTTCACCCTCTTGTCACACAGTTTGAAAGTCAGTGGCCTCCGGTGATCAGCTTCTGCAAGTGTATTTGCCCAATTTCTCACGAAGCTCTTGGGTTTTGACCCCATAAATGATGGGGTTGAGCATAGGAGGAATGAGGAGATAGAGGTCGGCTAAGATGATGCGAGCATGGGGAGCAATGTCTTCACTGAACTGACGTGTCAGGCTAATGAAGAAGACAGGAGTATAAGACACCAGCATCACACAGATGTGGGCTGTGCAGGTGTTAAGGGCTTTCTGGTGGGCTCCCTTGGAGGAGATTCTGAGGACGGCCCTAATGATGAGACCATAGGACAGAGCAATGAGCATCAGATCTGACCCCATGAGTACAAATGGTATCACCAAGCTGTATGTCCTGTTGAATGTGATATCCCCACACAATATCATTGCCACAAGCATGTGCTCACAGTGCATGTAGGGGATAAAGTGGTTGTCACAGTATGGCAGCCTGCTCAGCGTCAGGGGCATAGGCAGAATGAAGAGAACAGCTCTTATCAAACCCACAAGCCCTAGCATAGCTATTCGTGCATTGGTGAGGATGGTGGTGTATCTCAGAGGATTACATATGGCAACGTAGCGATCAAAGGCCATTATCATGAGAACAGCAGACTGCACAAAAGAAACTGAGTGAAGGGAGAAAATCTGGGTGAAGCAGCCATGCACAGTAATTCCTTTCAAATTGAACCAAAATATACACAGTGCCTTTGGCACGACTGTGCTAGACTTGGTGATGTCTGTGAGCGCCAGCATGCAGATCAGCAGGTACATCGGCTTGTGCAGGGTCTGCTCTTTCCATACAACAAACAGAACCATGAAATTTCCCAACAGGCTGATAATGTAGGAGGTAGAGAAAGGGATGGAAATCCAGACATGGGCATCTTCCATGCCAGGGATGCCCATTAGGATGAAGTTTGTTTGGTAAGAATGGGTGAGGTTCAAAGCTGACATGAAGTCATCAATGCGTCGATCGGGCTTAGAAATGATCGATGTACCTGTGAAGGGAGAGAAGCTCAGTGAGAGGTGTTACACGGTTTATACAGCAATTAGTAGGGTAAATATTTTATAGTTATTACCAATCTCAAAAGGGGGGTTGAGCAGTGAGGTGACAACATTTGCAGATGACATCAGATTATTTAGGTCATAGTCAAGTACAGAGAATTTCCCAGAGGGAGCTAATCAAGCCACGTGAATGTGCAGCATGTTGGCAGATGAACTTTGATGGCAATAATTGCCTCGTGTATGCTCATTGAGATCCAGGAGGAGTGGGATGGGGAATCATACAGAAAATACAGTGTCATGAGATCAGTCAGTCAATGTTTCACCCTCCTCTGGACTCCTCTGTGTAGTACTGGGCACCCTTCTCACATAGAATATTGCAGAAATAGAGGGTTTCAGGCAAGGGGAACAAGAATGATCAAGGGCCCGGGGAAACACTCATATGGAGTGAGGTTGAAAAGACTGGGATTATTACCTTACAACGGAGATAAAGAAGAGGCGACAGGAGAAAAGTCTACAAAATACTGATTGTTAGAGAGTAGATCGAGAATGTGATCTTCAGTCTCATTACACAATATTAATAGGACATTGGATTAAACTGAAACATGGCAAATTCAAAACAGATAAAAACGAATGTTTTCTTCATTCAATGCCTAATTAGGCTGAGGAACTCGTTGCCACAAGAGGTAGTTGAGGCCATCAGCTAAGCAAGAATCAGGAAGGGTTTGGACTTTCAGAGGGACAGGGAGATATCCAGTTACAACAGTTACTGCTAAATAAATATTTTTGAAAGCCTATATGCCAATGTAATTCAGGGCACAAGCCAGTCTCTAGTTTTTCGACATTTGGGTGACACCCTCCTGATGGTCAAGTCACCTCCCGCATCCATCTACTGTTGTGTTTTTTACACATTCTTCTGCAACACCTGTGGCTGTCACTGTCACAGAGAGGACACTGGACAAGATAGACCATAGGTCTGATCCACGATGCAGTTCCTATATTGGAAAGGAGCCAAGTTTTCCCCATAGAAACAGACATTATCATAGAATCGTAGACTATTAGGGTTGGAAGAGACCTCAGGAGGTCATTTAGTCCAATCCCCTGCTCAAAGCAGGATCAACCCAAACTAAATCATCCCAGTCAGTGCTTTGTCAAGCTGGGCCTTAAAAATCTCTAAGGATGGAGATTCCACCACCTCCCTAGGGAACCCATTCCAGTGCTTCACCACCTCCCAATGAAATAGTGTTTCCTAATATCCAACCTAGATCATCCAATCCATACTGTTTTAACTTGCTGGCAATTATACTGTGGGAGACCGTATCAAAAGCTTTGCTAAAGTCAAGATATATCACATCCACCGCTTTCCCTATATCCACAGAACCAGTTATCTCATCATAGAAGGCAATCAGGTTGGTCAGGCATGACTTGCCCTTGGTGAATCCATGTTGACTGTTCCCAATCACCTTCCGCTTCAAAATGGATTCCTTTAATACCTGCTCCATTATTTTGCCAGGGACTGAAGTGAAGCTGACCGGTCTGTAGTTCCCCGGGTTCTGAGCTATGACTTTGTGCTGGGCTATGGCCTGCACTTCTGTTACTTCCCTTGTTTCTTTTAGTGAGACAATTTCTTGCAGGCATCCAGCTTTGTCTGAGACATAAGTTAGTGGAGGTAACTGGCAAGTGTAAGACTTGTGTCAGCAACTCAGCCACTTATCCTCCTCATGCCTGAAAATCGATGAAGTTTGAAGATGACACAAAAATTCAGGGATTTGAAATAATGAAGAGGACGGGTCACTGATTCAGAGCAATCTGTTTTGGTTGGTAAACTGGTCTGAAGCAAACAATATGTGTTTCAAAACAGCTATATAGATATCTACATCTAGGAACAAAGAATGTAGGTGATGCTAACATGATGGGGGACTCTTGTGGGAAGCACAATGATTCTGAACGAGATTAGGGGGCATGAAGGGGTAATTAGTTAACATGAGCTCCCAGTGTGACCTTGCAGCCAAAAGAACCAATCTGGTCCTTGGATGATAACCAGGGAAATCTTAAGGAGAAGTAGAGAAGTTATTTTAATACTGTATTTCACATCGGTGTGACTGCTGCTGGAATCCTGTGTCCAGTTCTGATGGCCATCATCAAAGACAGATGTAGATTCACTGAAGAGTGTTAAGAGAAGAGTCACAAGTATTATTAAATGATTATAATTCCCACCTTATGATAGACTCAAAGATTTAAATCTATTTATTTTATCAACGATGTCTAGGCGTTAACTTCTTAACAGTCTGTAAGTACCTACACAGGGAACCAATATGTAATAATAGGCTTTCCAGCATAACATGATCCACTGGCTGGAAGCTGAATTTAAAAACATTCTGACCGGAGATAAGGCGTACATTTTTTAAATGGTGAAAGTAATTAACCATTTGAACAATTTACCAAGGGTCTTCATGCATTCTTTATCACTGAGAATGTCTAAATAAAGGTTTTATGTTTCTCTAAAAGACCTGCTCTAGAAATAATTTTGGGGAAATTCTCAGCCCTGTGTCATAAAGACTAGATGATCACAATGGTCCCTTCCGGCCTTTGAATCTACGAGCATGTCCCCAGGACTCAGCTAGAGGCATTTTGGTTCCAAGATCGTACCTGAAATTACTGAAGGCTTTTATTCTATTCATGACCCTGCTGAATTTAGCCCAGTGAGGCGAAATTCTCATAGAATCATAGACGATTAGGGTTGGAAGGGACCTCAGGACGTCATCTAGTCCAACCCCCTGCTCAAAGCAGGACCAAGTCCCAACTAAATCATCCCAGCCAGGGCTTTGTCAAGCCGAGCCTTAAAAACCTCCAAGGAAGAAGACACCACCACCTCCCTAGGTAACGCATTCCAGTGCTTCACCATCCTCCTAGTGAAATAGTGTTTC